GTAGCAGAATGAAAATCAGGCCAAACAGAAAGCATGTCCATTAGGAAACAGGCTGCAATCCAAGCAAATGGTGTCACAAGCTAAGTAAAGTTCACCCTCCTTTCTAACTTGGGGAGGGGGGGAAAGGCTGAAAGGGGACAGACAGACTCCTGTCTGGGCTGCCTAGTCCCCAGTTATGCAGTTAAGGAGCTAACTAAGGGGTCAGAGAAGCAGCTATCTACAGCAGGTCACCCAAGTCAAAAGAAAGAAGCGCATCCCCCCACCCCAGGCCGAGGCAGAGCCCAAGGATTGAAACTCAGCTTCCCCTTACCACCCTCTCAGTGAGCTTCCCTGGCGGCCCTGCCATCTGGGGTGGGCTAGCCTGGTTTACTGCAAAGGGGGAAAAGGGAAATCTCCAGATCTTTCAGTTCAATGAGGCTTTTAAAGAGAAGTTTGAGAGGCTGTTTATATAACAGGTAAAGTCAGAATGCCCTCAGGCTGCCCGGCCTGGCTCATTTTTTTCCCCCCTGAGTAGAGGGAGTGTTTAAATGGCCATGGAGTTGTCCTCAGAAAGTTCAGGTCATAAATTGCTTCTGTGACAAAGCCATCTGTCTGTGTGCATTTTCCCTCAATAATAAAACAGGACATAACTTATTTTTAGAATGATAAAATAGCCTGCTTGCCTTTACATAACCTGACAACAGCAAGCCAAATCATAACCAGAGACAGACAAGTTAGGAAGCCCAGGAGCAGCTTAAAGATGGTGGGTGGTGTTGATGGGTGGAGAAATACATTGAAGTCCAGAAAGAGAAAAGGGGAATGGCCCCAAAAGCCAAGGCCAATAATTCTCTGGTGCTTTTACTCTGCAGGCTGCCTCTGCTAGCTTTAGGAGTCACAGAACATAGTAGGGGAAGGAAACAAGCATTTACTTATTAAGCTCCTACCATGTGCTAGGAACTGTGCTAAGCACTTTACCAAGACACTGAAGAAGAAAACTTGGGGCTTTTATGTTGGCTTGGGAGGTCTGCGTGGCCCCTGTCATTCCAATGTTAACAAGAAGGCCTTCCTGGACTTTAGGATTAAAGACTTGTTGAGTGGCTGGTGTTATTACTTTTGTTATTGAATTAAGTCACGTCCAACTCTCAGTGACCCCATTTGGGGCTTTCTCAGTAAAGATACCGTAATGGTTTGCTATTTCCTTCTCCAGCTCATTTTACTCATTTTACAGATGCTTGCCTCAATTGGCAAACAGGGTGAAGTGACTTGCCCAGGGTCACACAGATAATGTCTGTGGTCAGATTTGAACTTTGGAAGAGGAGTCTTCCTGATTCCTAGCCCAGTGCTGTATCTACTGCGCCACCTAGCTGTCTTGTGTTATTACTAGTCACCCACAATGTGCTAAGCACCTACATATGGGCTATATATTTCCCTCACAAGAAGGCAGATTTAGTTTGTCAGTTTGCTACCCACATAGAACTACTTTGTTTGGAGTTTTTTTATTTATCATTTTTTAATGCCCCAAAGACAGAGACCTAGATTTGAAACCAATAAGAAAGGTATGAGCGTGAGCTGGCAAACTTTGCGACATACAGATTCTGAAAGCACGTACCAGTTGTTGAGGTGAAGCCAAGGTTAATCTATACCTTGCCGGACAAAGGTGATGACAAGCTTTGTATGGGTACAGCCATTCTCCCTGCTTCAGAGATCTCTGGAGACTGCTCTACCATGGCTGAGTTTCAGAAATATAATATTTTGGTATGAAAAGCAAACAATCTCTCACTAAAGAAAAAAAATCAACTAGTTGACTTAGAGAAAATTTCCAATGAAAGTTTTGCCGGTGACCTGCCTTGTCATCAAACTGCCCTCCAGGACCTCTGGGAATCAAATCCAAGAGCTCTCATGCCTCAGGCCACATGGCTATCTTGGGAATGTAAAGCGGGTAGGATACAGTAGGGGATTTCTATTTTTCATGATTCTCAAATCTGTGTCACAATGAATATGCTTCTGTAACAGTGAGTTTCCAAAATTGGAGGTCATGACTTGAGACCAAAGGGTCAACTAATCAGAGGATGTGAAGGTGGGTCACAGCCAGGGATGTCCTGGTAAATGGTTAATGACTGGTTCTCTAAAGGGGAGGAAAAAATATGAGTGCAGAACACACTTTTAAATTTAATCAACATCATTAACATTTTCTCCATCACCTTGTTCCGTCTAGACAATCAACAAAACAATAAATCAAGTTCTGATTTGTAGCCACAGCCGATTTGCGAGGTATAAATGCTCACACTTAAAATTTAACAAGCAACTACAACTGGCATATCCCATCCTCTGTGCCAGAACCTTACATACCCCCTGCAACCTTGCTAATTGGGTGGCTCCCTGCCTGTGGCACTAAAGGTGGAAAACCAATCAGAGGCGCTAGCATTAGGAATCCCTGCCCCTAATTACCAATCTCCTACTTTTTACCTGTTTTCATTGCTGACCCAGAGACAGGTTGTTTCAGCCTCTCCCAGTCTGTGAGTGCTCTCTGAGTATGAATGCATAGCCAGAAACATGTATTGCCTGTTGTCCACTGCCCTAGAGTTATAGCCCACTACCCTTGTGTTAGGACTGATTCTTCTGGTTCCCAGCACCAGGGTGGGCACCTTAGTCATGCAGGACTCCAGTCCCAATGAGAGTGGGGTTTGGTCCCCTTCTCTGATAGAGGAGACAGGACCCCAGCCATCTGTCCCACTGTTTAAGAGGCATGACCAGTTTGGGAGCACTAAGACCACGCAATAATCTTCTCTGCAGAACTATGAACTCCCTTTCTCATTCTGCCATGACCGCTGCACCTCAGGTCTGGTATCTTCTTGTCTCCGCCTCCCTGTTCTGTGCTCCCACTCCTGGGCATCCCGTAACACTCCAAGCCTTCCCTTGTGTATGAGCTAAAACAAAGGTCTCCTGTTTTTGGCATCAATGGCCAGGCTGCCCAAGTATCCAAAGCAGCTCCACTGGACCAGGACAGGTGCTCATTCAGCCTTTGTTCAACCTTTCCCAGCCTAAGTCTACAAGAACACAGACATTTATTAAGCACCTAAGGCAGTCAATTCCCTTTCCAGATAGCTCTAATTGTTAGAAAAGTTATTCTGCATATTGAGCTAGAACCTCACTCCCAGTGGCTTCCATCTACTGGCTCTCACATTGCCCTTTGGGCTTGCACACAGTAATACTGATATTCCATATGACAACCCTTCACATATTTAAAGGCGGGAATTGATTCCCTTCTAAGTATTTTCTTTTCCAGGCTACATGCATCTGTACTTTATCCAGGCATGTTTCATATAACATTGTTTCCAATCTCATTATGAACCCGGTTGCCCTAATCTAGATGCATTCCAGCTTTAGAAAATGTCCTTTCAAAGTGTCATGCCTAGACCAGAACTAGATGCTCCAGAAGTGCTGTGACCAGTAGGGTCAGGCTCTTACCTTCTGAAATCCACACCCTCTCCTAAACTGTAACTTAAGGTGACATTGGCCTTTGGGGCACCGACTTTGCATTGTTGATTTACATTGAGCTAGCCTTCACTGCAAACCTCCAGGTGTTTTTCATATTAGCTGCTGTTTATTTGTGACTCTAGGCTTTTACAATCAAATCTAAGTGTAGGACTTTACATTTATCTCTATTAAACTTATCTTGTTTGAGACAGTTAAATAAATGCCAAGCCCTACTTTGCCACCTAGCAGGTAGTTGTTGCAGTAGGCAGAGGGCTGGGCCTGAAGTCAGGAAAATCTAGGTTCTAATCTAGCCTCAGTAGCTCCCTAGCTCTGTGGCCCTGAGCAAGTCACTTCACCACTCTCTGCCTCAGTTTCCTCTGCCTCAAAAAAAGAAGACCACCTAGCTCCCAGAGTTGTTGTGAAGATCAAAAGAGAAAATATTTTTAAAAGCACTTGGCACAGAGACATTTAATAAATCCTTCCATCTTTTCTCCCTCCCTCCTTTCCTTCCTTCCTTCTTTCCTCCTTTCTTTCCTTCCTTTCTCCCTCCCTTCCTTTCTCCCTCCCTTCTTTTCT